ACTGCATATGGCATTCCTTCTGTCACCATACCATCCATATATCTTGCAAGTACACTATATGGATATTGTGCTTTACAGAGCAATGTTAGTTTTTCACCTTCGAGAAGTGAGCAGCTTCCCTTCAGGTCATCCTGGTTGAAGGCGCTAATTTTGAATATATTCAAATATAAAATAATACAAATTAAAAGAAAATTTATGGGATACATTTTTTAAAAAGGTTATAAAATAATTTAAACTCAAAATGACATTTGGACTGGGAGAAATTATTTTCTAATAAAATTTCCTGGAAGAAGGTCCATGGTACAATAAACAAGTAAAAATCAGAAAGTTCTGCCGGTGCGAACTTTGAATACCCTACATCATTTGGAACGACTTTAGAAATTTTCAAAAAATAAAATAATAATAAATAAATAAAATCTGTTAAAATCATACAAATACCGAATGAATCCGTTATGTTGGGGTCTATACGAAAACGTGGACCTGCGTAGACAATTTTGTCATAAGCCATTACAATATTACGAAACTTGGAAAAATAATTTAGATAAAATCATTAAAATAGCGAATGTATGGAAGTACGGTTATATCGGGGCTATACGAAGACCTCGGCCTGTATAGACAACTTTCTGTCACAGGTTGTAGTGCCTATTAGGAACTTCAAATACGAAACAATATCGATGAATATTGTACTTAAAATCGTCAGAATATGGAGGCTATACGAAGGCGTGGACCTGCATATGGAAAATATACGATATCGTGGTCCTATATAGATAATACTCTCCCAGGGGGTAGAGTACTCAGAACGAACTCCTTTTGCAGAATTTCACACAATTTCATTGAAAAATGTGCCTAAAATCATCGAAATACCCAATATCGGGGTGTACCGTTGTATGGGGGCTATACGATATCGTAGACCGATATAGCCCATTTTCAAACTTGACCTGCCTGATCTGTGCAAAATTTCATCATCCAATCAGACGGACGGAAAGGCTAAATCGTTTCAGTATTTACGCTGATCAAGAATATATAGGGTGAGATAAAAAAAATCCAACAAAGTCAAACGCCATAATTTTAACATTATTTTTTTAAATTTTATCGAATTAAAGCAAAAAATGTCGGAAATAGCATCAAATTTTAGAATAAGTTTAAATTTGTTCGAATTGGCCACCTTTGGAACGAATTATGACCTTCAAACGGCTAATGAAACGTCAGACACTGCCCGAATGTTGCTCTGCGGTATTTTGGCCCATTACCGGCGAAGCACTTGCTTGAGGTGATCGAGACTTTGGTATTTTTAGTGCCAACCTTGTTTTTCAAAATACTTCAGACACAATCGTCCAACGGATTGGTATCCGGAGATTTTGGTGGCCATCGTGAACTGGAAATGAAGCGAGGAACCTCATTTTGTAACCATTCTTGAGTGGCGCGTGCTGAGTGCGATGGTGTTGAGTCCTATTGGAATGTAAAAGGTCTGCGGCCAAAATGTTTGCGTGCCCAAGGCTTTAATACACCTTCCAGAATATTTTCGCAATAATATTCGGCATTTATTCTGATGTCACGGTCGATTAATACGAGCGGAGTGCGACCATCGGCTGTTATGACAGCCCACACCATCACCATGGCCGGCGCTTGAGTTCTGGTGGCCAACGGAAGGTGCACATTTTCAGCTGATCTCTTTGGCAAGTAACCACGATCATTTTGTTTGTTTACAAACTGCTGGACAACGAATGTTTTCTCATTGGAGGAAACCAAATTCGGCAGTTCACCACTTTCGGCCAAGCGAAGCAACTCTTTAGCTCTTTTGAGCCTACTTTCTTTCTGTTGCGGTGTTAGTTCTTACACTTTTTGGAATTTAAATGGCGTTACCCCGAGCTCATTTTTAAATATTTGCCGAATGGAATATTGAGATATGTGCAGCTCACGAGCAATTTTTTCGGACACTTCTTTACTTTTCGAACCACTTCTGCTGATGTTGCTGTTTTCTTCCGTCCACTTCCTTGACGTCGAGCTACGGTACCAGTATCATGGTAATGAGCGATGGTACGAGACACAAAAAAAAGTTATTCACATTAAAATGCTGGAGTGCTCAATAAACATGCGGTATCCACCTAGATACAATATTTTGACTTTATGTTACCCCATCCTTATCTTTTTGCGACCTATAGTTGTACTCTATGGAAATACAATTTGTAGAATATTTTGACATGATCATGGCCAAATGGGCTTTTTAAAGATATTTTGAAGAAACTGATGAACAAGACAACATTTAATGTTATCTGTAGTATTGCCGAAGGCATAGTATACTATGGAGCACCTTATCTTGCTATAACCCTTAAATGTACGAATTTTATAGAATCTCAATCCGAAAATCTCAGAAAGTGTTTCCTTTTTTATCGCTCTAATTTTATAACCTGCTTGATTTTTTCCTTAAATACTTTTTGTGTTGCATAGTGTTATTTATGATTTTGAAAAATGCTGGAATTTTATGTCAAACCAAACAATCAGACAAAACCAAAGAATCAAAATATCAAATAAAAATAAATATATCAATAAAATATATTTTGTATTTTCCGTTAAAAAAAATATATTGAATCTATTTTCTATGGAGGAAGAACCAAATAATCCAACCAATTCCAACGAATCTGCACAGAGTCATAGCCACACAGATATCTATAATAAATCACAATCCCTAATTGATCTGGCGAATAAAACATTCCTTGAACTATGTCGAACATTGGAACATGAACAATCGAAACTGGTCAGTTTAGAAGAACGGCGCAAACAATTGCACGATGACATGCAAAAACTGAAAGCCGAATTGGAAAACGAGAAGAAACAATTGCATGAAATTAATTTGCTGGGATGCGTTGCTGGTAGGTTAAAATCTTAGATTTTCCGAACTTATTATTTTTTTATGAGATTTTTTGACATTTTGGGACTATTTTCATTAAAATTTGTAAATTTTTTCCGAAGCACCATACTATATTTAAGGATAGCTAATTAATAATTTGTGGGGAAACATAGCATGTCTATTGACATAGCCAAAGTTGCCTGAATTGTCTGGATATACACAGTGTTCCCGAATCCGATAATGCAGACAAAAAATATCTACATATCTATAAATTCCATTCACTTTAAATTTTGAAGAATTGGGTCTAGATGGCTGGAATTCTTACGCATGTTACGTCTGAAAGTGTTATGTTATGGTTTTCGTATAGCCGTTAAAGAAAAGTACTCCAGATATTCGATATTTTGGTAATTGTGAGCCTTCCTTCTTGCAGAAAAATTTCTATATCTATATTTCTTATAGACCCCATATAACGTCTCCTCCTGATATTCCGTATTTTGATCATTTTAACCTCATTTTCAAATGGCATTGTCTGAAGTTTAGTATAACGGTACCCCCCGATATTCGGTATTTTGATGATATTAGCGACATTATTTAGCGGAATTGTTCCAAATTAGGTATTTGAAGTTCGAAAAAAATTGTCTGTGCAGGTCCACGTCTACGTATAGCCCCCACATAATGGTACCCCCCATATTCGGAATTTTGATGATTTTAGCTACATTATAAACAGATTTTTCTTCAAGTTTCGCATTTAGATATTGTAATAACTTATGACAAAAGTTGCCTATGCAGGTCCACGTCGTCGTATAAGCATTCGGTATTTTTAAGATTTTAACAGAATTTTTAACTGATTTTATTTATTATTTTTTTTGGAAATTGTTAAATTTGCACCAAATGGTGGAGGTTATTAAAAGTTCGGCCCAGCCGAACTTACCGCTTTTTTACTTGTTTTGTCATAGAATCACTTTCTGAGTCGATTTATGCATGTCAGTTCGTCCGTCCATGTATTTTTGTGAACAAAATGCAGGTCGAATTTATTATCCGACAGAGATGCAATTTTATGAACAATGATTGTTTGGTCCAAGGACGAACCCTATTGACTTTGGTGTGAATCGGTCCAAATTTAGATATAGCTCTCATAAATATCTTCAAGCGATTTCGCCAATGGCCAATAGCAGTCCAAATGACCTGAATTTTGGTAAATCCGACCGAATTTTGACTAGAAGCAAGTATATCAAATTTGGTTAAAATCAGTTCAGATATCGCTATAGCTTCCATATATATGAGTCATCCGATTTGGTGTTTAAGTCCTTCATATGCACTCCACAAGAATCATATTTGGTACCAGATATCAGATATAGCCCAGAAATACATTTGTCATATTTTATCGAGATCGGATCAGATTTGAATATAGCTCACATACATATCTTTATCCGATATATGGTTTATTGTGCACAAAGTGTCTAATATCAGTTCAAATTAACTAAATCTTTGCAATGAATTCAGCTTAAAAGCAAGTTCATCAAGTTTTGGTGAAATTCAGTTCAGATATTGCAATAGATCCCATATATATGTTTCATCCGATTAGGAGTTTTAAGTCCCTTACATGCGTAATAACACTCCACCACAATGAATTTTGGTACCAGATATCAAAAAGCATAAGTGCCTAAAATTTTGTCAAAATTGGTTCAGATTTGGATATAGCTCCCATATATATCTTTGTTCCATTTATTATTGTGCAACAAATGGTCAATATCAGACAAAATGGACTGAATTCTGGCATATCCGATTGAATTCAGCCTAGAAACGTGTACTTCAAAAATTGGTGAAAATCGGTTCAGATGCACTTATATCTCCCATATATACGTTTCATCCGATTTGCTGTTAAAGTCCTATACATGGGTAATATGCAGTTCACAACAATGATATTTGATACCGATCAGATACAGCTCGAAAATTCCACTGTCATATTTTATCGAGATCGGTTCAGATTTTTATATACCTTCAATATACCTCTTCGTACGATTTTACGGTTATTGTCCAACATATATGTAACATCAGCCCAAATTGGATAGATTTTTTCATATTCAAGTGAATTTTTGAATTTTGCCAAACTCGGACCGGTATATCGATTGCTCCAATAAATATTTCTACCCTACACCACAAGGTGGTCAGGGTATTATGTCTTTGTGCATTTGTTTGTAACAGGCAAAAGGAAACAAGATAGACCCATAGTTCCTTTTGATCATCTGCATAGAATCACATTCTGAGTCGATTTATGCATGTCCGTCCGTCTGTCCGTCCGTCTGTCCATGTATTCTTGTGAACAAAATGCAGGTCGCATTTATTATCCGATTGAGATGAAATTTTCCAAACAACATTTGTTTGGCCCAAGGACGAACCCTATGAAGATGGAGATAATCGGTCAAAATTTAGATATAGCTCCCATATATATCTTCGTCCGATTTGCCTTTTATTGTGCACCAAACGTGTAATATCAGCCCGAATAGTATGGAATGGATGCACATGCAACCAAATTAGGCCTGAAAACAAGTATGCCAAATTTGATCGAAATCGGTTCAGATATAGCTATAGCTCCCATATATATTGTTAATCCGATTTGTTATTTTTGTCCTTCGCAGCCTTAATATGCACTCTGCAGCAACAATATTTGGGGAAATATATCAAATGCAGCTCAGAAATATCTTTGCCAAATTTTATCGAGATCGGTTCAGATTTGGATATAGCTCCCATATATAACATCGTCCGATTTACCTTTGATTGTGCAACATCTAATATTTGTCTCAATGGGATGGAATTTGGCACTTACGACCGAATTGAGTCCAGAAGGTAGTGTGTCAAATTTGGTGAAGATCGGTTAAGATATAGCTATAGCTCCCATATCATCCGATTTCTAGAATTTGTTACACACAGCCGTAATATGCACTCCGTAACAATGATATTTCAGGAAATATATCAAATACAGCTCAGAAATATCTTTGCCAAATTTTATAGAGATCGGTTCAGATTTGGATATAGTTCCCATATATATCTTTATCTGATTTCAAATTAATTTTGCACCAAATTGGCAATACAAGTCCGAATTTAAAAGATACAAATGCTTCGGCATATTTTGTCCTTTGAATTTTAATTATAATTATAATCATAGCGTGTATGATTGAATTCTCCCATAAAAACTTTTAATTGTTACGTGGAGCTCTACTAAATTAGGGTAGGGTATCATATACTCAGCCCCGCCGACTTTTGACCTCTCCTTACCGTACATTTTTCAATGTATAGTTACATTGATGCTCTGAATTTCTAGAATTAATTATTTTTTACTTCAAAAATATTAATGTATGTAAATTTATCTGGTAGGCTGTAGTTGAATTTTGATATCTGTATACTCCTGTCTGATTAAAACCTTTCCCAACATACCAAATTGACTTGAGAATAATATTTTAATAAGCTTACAAACATAAGCCTAAAGCTTGAGAAAATCTTGAGAATGTATTGAGAAATGTTTGTTTAACAATTATAGAATAATCGAAAAGGAACCCTTATTCATAAGCTTATTCTTGTAATTGGAGAATAAGCTTACGAAAGTAATATTTTATAAAGCTTATTTTTTCAATGGTAAAAAATATTTATTTATTCATTTTTTAATTATTTTACACATTTCATTCATTGATTTCCATCCCAGCTGTCACTGCATCCTGTTGCCTTGATACCTAGATGCTTTCTTTCCCCTTATTTGAGCTTCTGTATCTCCTCCACCTATTCTTCACTTCTGTTGAATTCCTGCAACTTTTTGACGCCTCCATTCTGAAATGAGATTGAAATAATTTATACTACAGATTTCCAGATTTATTATTCATCATTACCATCGAATTTCGTCCGGAAATGGGTCCTAAATTCGCGTGATTTTGATTTTAACCAAAGAAAATAATTTTTTGTTGACAATTTTCACAAAAAAAATCAAAACAAATTTGTCAACAAAGGACAGATTTGAGAAAAGTTTGTGCAAAAAAGTGTTTCTCAAGCATTGTTGAAAAATTCTTATGATAAACTATTTTCATAATATTATTCTCAAGCTGTATTGTATTTTTGGTATGTTGGGTTATTATTTAAATGATAAAAACTGTGATTTCTCCTTTGAGGAGACTACCAAATTTCCCACAGGAAAGTTACACAATAATACCAATTTTCATTTGGGAATTTTGTCTTTATTACAGACGACAATGAATCAAAAACTTGTTTTGAAGAAATCCCAAATGAAGATTCAACCACTGTGGAGCCAAGTTATGAATTTGAAACCCAAGAAACAACTGCCCATGAACAAACAACTAACATTAAGCAAGAGTTGCAAAGTGTGTTAGAAGAATGTATTGCAGAACAGAAACGAACAAATTGATAATAGCAATTTTCATTACATGTTAGCACTCGAAATTTATTTTGAATAATAATAAATCGATCCTTAAATAAATGAACTTAAACATATAATTGTATGTTTCATTTGAATAAATGTATACTATCTAAAAGCATTATTATTAATTAACATTGACATAATATTTTTTATGTGTTTGTTTCTCTTTCGAGACGAGCTTAGTGTTTTGAAATTTGCAGTGAAAAGGAAAGCCGGATAGACACTATCACACATTCACCACTATGCGACGCGTTTCGCCGTTGGTTAAGCGACTCATCAGGCATATTTGGTGTGGATGGTGGCTTACAAGGGCCGTTTTCTGGATAGTAGCATATATTTCGAACTTATTGCGAATTAGCATATGCGAATTAAACACTAAAAACTCTTCAAGTTCGACTCAAGATCTATTAGCAGATCTTTTTCACAGCAAAGTTTGTTCTTGTAGTGATGGATTTTTTGTCCACAACAACTACATTGCTTCCAATGCATAGACTTGTTTTAGTGCTGCTTTAGGAAGACTTTGGTTAATGGCTCTGAATGTAGAGACGGCAACTTCTAGTTGGTTGCACACCGAGGTCCGCGGTTCAAATCCCACAGCCAGGCTCAGATGAATTTTAATTTTTATTTTTGAGTTTTGCCTTGCTAAATTTTTTTTTCATAGCTATTGACATCTCATTTAACATTTTCAACAATTTTAAGTCAAGGTTTCGGTTTAATATCATGAAATATAAGTATGTAATCAGTTACAGTTACAGGCGAGGCTTCAATTATGAGGACAGGGCAGAAACCTACCATTTTGGATGGTATGAAAAATATGTATGTATAATAGCGTCTATCTAGCTTTCATTTCACTACAAATATTTAGATCATAAAGTTCGTCTCAAAAGTGAAATTTCCACAATTTCCATTAAACAGCGAATATTTGTATACCCTCCACCATACTATGGAGGGTATATTAACTTTGTCATTCCGTTTGTAACTCCTCGAAATACTCATGTCAGACCCAACAAAGTATATATATATTCTTGATCAGCGTAAAATTCTAAGTCGATTTAGAGATGTCCATTTGTCTGTCTGTCTTTCCGTCTGTCTGCCCTTCTGTCTGTTATAATCACGCTAGAAGGCAGATAGAAGGCTAAAATTTTGCACACATGTTTATTTTTCCAGTAGGAAGGTCAGGTTCGTAAATGGGCCATGTAGGTCCACGGTTTCATGTAGCCCCCATATAACGGTACCTCCCGATACTCGGTATTTTGATGATTTTAGCGACATTATTCACCGGAATTGTTTCAAATTTAATATTTGAAGTATGCAATGGATACTATAGGCTAAGATACAAAATTGTCTGTGCAGGTTTACATCTTCGTATAGCCTTCATATAACGGTACCTTCCGATGTTCGGTATTTTGATTATATTAGCGACATTATTCACCGGAATTGTTTCAAATTTGGTATTTAGAGTTCATTATGGATACTACAACCTATGACAGAAATTTGTCTATGCAGGTCCACGTCTTCGTATAGCCCCCTTTAACGGTATCTCCCGATACTCGGTATTTTGATGATTTTGGCGACATTATTCACCGGAATTGTTTCAAATTTGGTATTTGAAGTTCGTAATGGATACTACAGCCTATGACAGAAAATTGTCTATGCTGGTCCAGGTCTTCGCAGAGCTCCGATATAACGGTACCTCCCTATATACGATATTTTGATTGTTTTAACTACATTATTCACCGTTTATTTCAGGTTTCGGTTTTGAATATGGTAATGACTTATGACAAACAATGCCTATGTAGATCCACGTCGTATACAGGGTTGCCCATATTCGACGGACCCATGTTTAGAAAATCGATTGTTATGCGACTTGTGTGCGGTGGAGCGCCGTCTTGTTGAAACCAGAACTGCCTCATACGCTTTCGACGAATAATTGGCATCACAAAATTGGTCATCATGTCACGATAACGCTCCTGATTAATGGTACCAGCATGGACATTTTCATTTTGGAAGAATAACGGCCCAATGATCGTTTTCGCACTAAAGCACGTTGAGTTTTCACAATTGACTTCTTCTGTTGAATGTAAATTTCAACTATTTCAGAGCGCTCGCATGGCGTGTATTGGTTCATGGTAAAAATCTTCTTGGACAGACGCTTCAAACGCGGTATGTCATTAAGCGATGTGACATCTCTGTCAAAAGTTATGGCGTTGCCAGATGGGTCCGTCGAATATGGGCAACCCTGTAGATTTTTGTTTTTTTTTTTTTTTGGAAAATATCCAAATTCGTTCCAAATGGAGGAGGGTATTCAAAGTTCGGCCCGGCCGAACTTACTGCTTTTTTACTTGTTAATGCTGAAAATCACCTTACTGGTGTAGTTGGAGTATACACTCAAATATTTTGAATGTATTCGTGGGTCCTGTCAAAAACCAACGTAACCCTTTTGGCCCCGCCGATCTTTGTTTTAGTGGCTATAACTCTAAAAATTCAGTTATTTAAAAGCCCTGAATAAAATTGAATACTATTGGACAAATGGAATGAGCTAGAAATTTGGAATGAGAGTCACTGAAAGAATACAGGATAGATGTCTTCAAGGATTTTTGGAAATTCGAACTTTCAGTTTCTAAACTGATACTAAACTTTTAAAATTGCACCATTTAGTATAATGAAAAAGGATAGAGCCAAAATCCTTTAATTTGGTATGAGAATTAAAGTTCGAATGTTTGATATGTGAAGGTGATGTCGAAAATGTGAAAGTATGCGAACTGTAATAAATCGTACTCAATTTGGAGAAGATTGGTTTAGGGTGAACGGATGTAGCGGGAATTTTGAAATTTTGTATTAGGGTCCCTTTTGGTTGTAGGTTTATGATAAAGATGTGGTTTTGGAAACCTGTACTAAAAGTGCACAAAATATACTAAATAGTACTATATTTGGTATAATTCTGAAATTTGCCATTTATACTACAGATGGTGTATGTGTTTGAGATTCATTTGGTTAGGTAGGGAGATAATAGGAACGAAAAATAGTAAAGTAAAGTAAATACTTAATTTGGTATTGTGTGAAGGGAAAGGACTGGAATCCTTAAATTTGATATTAAGGTCTCTGTTGGTATCTGGTGGTTGAAGGTGGTTTTGGTAATGTGTACTATAATTGTTGAAGAAGTACTAAGTGGTACTAAATTGGATATTGGGTAAAGGGATAGGGCTGCATTCCATTGAATTTTGAGGTTTCTGTTGATATCTTGGATTGTGATTTGGAGTTGGTTTTGAATTATGTCCCAAATGTTTGGTAAGATAATGTTTGGTAAGATAATCCAATTATTATATCCTACACCACAAGGTGGTCAGGGTATTATGTCTATGTGCATTTGTTTGTAACAGGCAAAAGGAAACGAGATAGACCCATAGTTCTTTTTGATGATCTGCATAGAATCACATTCTGAGTCGATTTATGCATGTCCGTCCGTCCGTCTGTCCGTCTGTCCATGTATTCTTGTAAACAAAATGCAGGTCGCATTTATTATCCGATTGAGATGAAATTTTCCAAACAACATTTGTTTGGCCCAAGGACGAACGCTATTGAAGCCGGAATTGAAGCCTATTGTTCTTAGGATGTGTATTTAGAGGTTTAAATGGCAAAAAAATTTTAAATTTTTCTAATTTTGTGGTCGGAATTTCGCATCGGAAGAGAGTTGAGGACAGAGAAGAAGTCTAGCATTTTGTATGACCATTGGATTATATTTAGGTTAAAATGGACCACAACTTTCGTGTGCAATTGTTTTGAATACTTAACAACACTACGGAGTGCGTAAATATTGGTCAAATTCTCCGGGTCAAAAACCTAAGAGTAACCTCTAGGCAGCGCTCTTTGGCATTATTTCAAAAACGATATCTTCCAAAATGGATTTGGATATAAAGGGACTTTGGACATATTGTAGTGTTGTAGGGTATCACATGGTCGGCCCCGCACGACAATAGCCTTTGCTTACTTGTCTTTACTGTTTTTGTCATGCGATTTTTTGCTTTGATGTCCATTTATACCATTTCTTTGGCCCAACTTGAAGATATACTATATCGGTCCACTGCCTTTACTATATCTCGCCCAATCAGTTTTCACTGGTATTTGTAGGCAAACTTCACTAATTCTTTCTAGCTTCTTGGCTTACAATTTATTATTGGCTTACAATTGCTATTAACTCCATATCGTTTAACTTCCCCAACGGCTTGGCGTGTTTAAATGGTTTAAAGAAAGAATTCAATTCAATTGTTTTCATGTTGTTTATCGCAAAATTCGATAAATAAACAATTAGACACATAAATAAATAAATTATACATTGTGTCGAGTTTTTGAAGTAATTATGATATACTCCCGATAGTGATAAAGACAAAAAGGTGTGCACACGCCCTCTCTCACACACACACAAATATATACTCGTACATATCACACACATTTAACTGGCTTGCATACCATCATACCTGACGTCGTATTCATTGTTCATGTTATGCCGCCTGGTGTTGGTTGACCATACCATAGAAATACAAATACGATACAAATAAATTTCAATTAAAAATTATTCAATAAATTCCCATAATATCTGCAAGTTTTGCACACACACACATAAACATCTGTGAATTCACCAAATATAGATGTAAATAAGCAGCAATCTATAATTGCAAATGAAAAACAAATAAAAAGTATATTTATCCGTGCATGTCAATCCGTCCGTCCGTCTGTCCATGTATTTTTGTGAACAAAATTTTCCGAACAATGATTGTTTGGTCCAAGGACGAACCCTATTGACTTTGGTGTGAATCGGTCCAAACTTAGATATAGCTCTCAAAAATATCTTCAACCGATTTCGCCAATGGCCAATAGCAGTCCAAATGACCTGAATTTTGGTAAATCCGACCGAATTTTGTCTAGAAGCAAGTACATCAAATTTGGTTAGTTCAGATATAGCTTTTGCTTCCATATATATGATTCATCCATCTTTATCCGATATATGGTTTATTGTGCACAAAGTGTCTAATATCAGTTCAAATGAACTGAATCTTGGCAATTTCGACTAAA